TCTCCCCCTCTGATTTCCCCCCTTTCGTTTTTCCCTTCCTACTATCTTCTTTTTTTTAACATATAATGTATTATTTGTTTCAGAGGTACAGGTCTGTGATTCAACAGTCTTACAGTCTTACACAATTCACAGCGCTCGCCATAGCACAGTATCTTTTTCTTAAATTTTTTTTCCCTTAGGTAGGAGGCATAAAGTCTCAAACATTAAAATGATAAGAAATATATTAAAATTATTTTAAGTTAAAGTTAAGATGAAATATAAGCAAGAGAGATACTGAAAAATAATGGGGCAATTAGGGAGTAGTGCCGAATCATCAGGTTGGAAGATTCGTTGAGATAACTTTTAATATATTTTTTTGTTCATGTTTTCTCCACTCACATTATTACAGACTTAAAGCCCAGAAATAGAAGAAATCTCTAATATTTCTGTCTTTCAAATGTGTTAGCAGAATTATGAATTAACTTGTGGCTTCCTTCCCCTCAATTTTATAAAAGCTGATTTTACCTGGTAAGGTGTTAAGTGATCCACTGACTGAAGGCTCCCCAACCTGGGTCACTGGCATTTAACTTGACAAAGAACACAACAGAAAGATTCCTTCCTGTTCTAGCAGGATGTCACTTTCTGAATAAGGAAACTATTCAGACATTTATTGAATAGTTATTATATCACATATTCTGTTCTAATACTCTACTGGTATGAACTTGGGCAGACAACTAAGGCAAAGAGAAATTCAGTAACTTTTCCAAGACAGTAAACTTGGATTCAAATCCAGGTAGTCTGGCTCCAAGCCCAAGCACTCCTAAACTATACATTTTTCCCCCCACTGTTAGACACAATGCAGTGTGAATAACTATTGATGGATGTACAGTGCCTCTTAAAGAGAAAACAAATATGAATTTGCTTGCATATATGTAAAATATCACAGAAATACACATAGAAATTGACAATATTGGATGTTTCTGGGGTTGGGACTTGAATAAATGAGGGATAATGGTACAAGGAGAGTTTTCCATGTATATTCTTCCAGAAGTTTTGAATTTAGAAATATCTAGATGCATTATTTTTACAAAAATGGATAAATAACTAAAACTTAAAAAAATTATAAGATTCAGTAGATTCTATCATGTCAACAAGCAATTATATATCCAACATTAAAAAGAAAAGTTGAAGACATTCTTGGGGAATTCAACATGTTTTATTTTGCCAGGCAAATGATTTCTTCAATATCCAATTAAATATCAATGTACTAACTACATTTAGTTTATTTTCTCACAGAGTGAACATTCACCGTAATGACAGTTTCATCATGCTAAAATCTATCCACAAACCTACACTTTGAAAAAAAGTGCATTCCTAGGAAATTTTATGTACAATACAAATGGAAAACATATTAAGTCATCAAAATGTCAAACTACACAAAATAAAACTAGTTAACCACCAATATTCAGTATACGTTGACATTATTTTGGAGAAAGAAAATTTTCTTTACATTTGGCAGTTATGTTGAAGAATTTCTATAATTTTAAAACAAAAGTAATAAAAGTATATACAATTGAATAATGTTCAAAGGAGAAGGTATTAAATAGCACAAATAATATTAAAAAACTAAATACCCTCATTGTCTATCAGTTTGTGTTTACATGAAGCAAGGGGACCTGTGTAGTTTACCCTATCTTCTGACTCTAAAACAATTTTACTTTAAACTCTGTACATAGAATAGATTGGCCATAAACACTGAAGATGGTTTTGGCCTTCCATTGACACATATTTCTATTTATGCACATAGCAGGCAAAATATTTGTATAATGAACTGCTTTACAGAATACTTCAGAATCATACACATTTGGAAGAATAGCTTTTATTAATATTAGCTTATTTTTGAATGAACATTATTTATGTTGTGTATTTTAACTGCTATGTTTGCCCCCACTGAGGCCTCCTCTTATAATATCATAATTTACCACCACTTAAATAATAAATCATATTCTTAAATTCTGATCAATGATTGCATTCATTTTGACAATGGTTTAGTTCTTGAAGCTTTTATTCTGTGGTGCTTAAGAAAGTAATAAGTCTACCTTACCTTCTTTGTGGACTGTTAACTACAAATAAAATTTTGTACTAGATTTTGAATAGGTCTATGATGCAATTTCTATTTGTACCTGGAAACATGAAAATTTCTTTACAAGTAAATAAAATGAAAAGGCAAATTTGTGTTTTTAAAGGAAATATAACAGTATAAAGAGATTTTTCATATTTCTCCCATCTAATTGTTATTTGGAATAAAAGGTTCAATAATAAATTTTTCTAATGAAATGACCCAAACATACAGTTAGAAGAAAATTATTTTATTCATTACAAAACTTACCACATCTGTATTTATATACCAGGGAACCTAATGCACCAGCATTCTTTTAAAAGAAAGTATGTCTATTTTTGTTCATATTCAAATTTTTTTCATTTGTCCACAAAATGAGCACTTCTCCAGCACATACTAAAGATTATTTTAAAAAAATGAACTGGTGACTTAAAAATCGTATGATATCTGAGGTTGATAAACCAAAAAAATGTGAGAATTAATTATTGAAATTAATCACTGATGGTAAAAACTAGTCACATTTTTTATAAACAGCTTTTAATAAAATCGTATTTCTTACTTTATTTTTCCCCATTTTGATAGTTTCACCTCTCATATACAAGTTTGATATTTCATTTTTTCTTCATATAGTGTTTACTTTGCCACACAGACTAGAAAATTAGAATACAGTAATTAAGTAAACAGTGTAAGATTATATTCTCTGAGTCTATAATAACTTAAATAACTTCCAAAAAAAGTGCTTTTGTTTGGAAGATGATAGCATTAAGAATATAAACTTAAATGTTTCACTGACATAACTCTAATCAAAGATGTTTATGGGTGAGGATCATTCATTTTATCTTCCTAAAACAAGGAAACAAAGATCAATAGCAGATATCAGCAACTGACCGTTTTTACAATAAAAAAATTAATATATTTCACTGTAAGTATATAAACTGTTCATTTTTCTGTATGAATCACTCATGTTTTATACAACTTTTAGATGCCCTCTTCCTTGATTTGTATCTATTCTACATTTCTTTTGACAGCCCTACTCTATTACATGTATTTATACAACTTTTACAATGTAAAAGTTGTGAACTTGGCATTTGTTTCCATATATAAAATTACTGGCAATTCCAAATCTAAACCCGTAAAGCAAGGAAGGAAGATCACGGGGTTATAGCCCTCATTCAATTAAGGGATGTAAGAATTTTAGTTTCATAGCCGCCATACTGATTTTGAAGGAAAAGTAAATAAAGATATAAATAAAATCTGGGTTAAGTTAAATATTTATATGCACCATGAGGACCATGACATGTCTAGTGCTAGTCAATATCATACAAGAAAATGCATGCTCATTTCAGTTCATGTAATACTCACTTGAGGAGTGAGTAACACCTTTCTCAGGAATTTCCCATGGGTAAAGCACAAGGTTCTTTGCTCAAAATTTGATCATTGAAGACAGACTATTCTTTACTGGAAGCATAAGCCCCAAGTAAGAGAATATTATGACTCTGGCAACTGATTCCTCCTGTTTCTACTTTTCCGGCTATTGATGAGAGCTTTTAACTTGCCATAGTCCCCTCTTATCTTCTGAGATTCTTCTTGTTGATGTTGCTGCCGAGTGTCTTTGCAGTACTGATTAATCATCTGCATTTCTGAGTGGCTGAATGCCCCCATGATGTCCTTTGGGTGGAAGGGTAAAGCCCTCACAGAGCTGGCCCAGGTCCATGGGGACCATTTGTCTGTCACAACAGCCACCATTTCAGAATCTAAAACTTTAAAGTTGATCTTGGCTATGGTCTGCTTGAAGCTGTTCTCTGTTGCAATGCAGTGATACAGTCCTTGGTCAGAATCTTGAACAGAGCGGATTAGAAGTCCTTGTGAAGTGGCTATGATTCGTTCATTCAGCTTGACCTAAAAGAGAGAATCATCAAAGATCCCAAACCTGACTCTATGTCTTCTAAAAAGATATGAGCAACATATACAGAGTATCTCTGGACTTGCAAATTTGGCGAAAGCATCAAGTACTGATTACCTTCCTTCTTAGTGAACACAAAGTTTTGGTCAGTTCCATTGCCTGTTTGACACAAGAGATCTTGTCTCACGAGCAATGAATCTATTAAAGAGAGGGTGAAGTTATCACCCATATTGCCAAAAATAGCTTCAAGTTCATTCCCTTTGGACAGAAGTAGCTTTTGTACATATAAGCACAGAGTTTTGGTTGCATTTGGAGTGTGAATCACAGTCAACAGATAAAAATAAAATTCATAGAATAATTTAAAATATCTTTTTGTCCTGGCGTTCTTGCCTTTAATTGCAACAAAAATACTCTCTTATTAGTAAAATCATGAAGCCACAGTTAAATGGTTGAATTTTACCATTTTTCAATGATGAGTGTTCTCCTAACTAAAAATGGAAACAATTCATTACTTTACTGAGTAGTAAGACAACTCAAAAAAAATTATATAAACAGAGGCAGAGTTTTGAACACTATCAAGGGCTTTTTCCAATTATCCCAAACTAAAGAATGACTAAAAATAAGCTGAAATGCCATCATCTTCTGCGTCTTCCAAATGGTTTTACTTTCCAAGGAAAGGTAATAAAAAGCTATGAAGTTAATATTTAATTACTTTACAGGCTTATCCTGAAAAAACTCTCATGTGCTGGATATTAGTTAAATGCATGAAATTCATCTTTCTTAAAGTTCCAGCTATAGTACTGCCAACAAACAGACTAAAAAGCTAAGTGGTAAGAAGTTCCTTGACATGGGGACTCTGGAATGCTCTTTCACTGAGGGGGGCAGAAATTGACCCAAATCAAAATAAAGAAATGTATGTAAAATGTTTTGCTAAATGGTAAATTTCTGCATAAGTACATATCTAATTACTGATGAAATAAAAATCAAAGATAGATTGTTTTAGATAAAAAGTAGCCCCCGCCCCCCCCGCAAAAAGCACAAAAAGGCAAAGTATAGTATTGAAATACAGATAAGAGAACAGATCTAGAAAAGGGAGATCAGGAAGTAGGACTGAAATATATAAAGCAAAGTTTAGATGTTAATTTAATTTTTAAAGTTTAAATGTGTCTCAAAAATAGTTTCAATCACGTAGAAGTGTACTCAGAAACAAAAGGAAAAGGAAGCCTTTTCTATGTGTGCAAAATTAGGAAAAAATTTGGAGGTCAATTTTATAAATTCACATAACATGCATATAGTATTTGATGCAGAAATTTCATTTCTAGGAATTTTTTTTAAAGATTTTATTTATTTATTTGACACAGACACAGTGAGAGAGGGAACACAAGCAGGGGGAGTGGGAGAGGGAGAAGCAGTCTCCCCGCTGAGCAAGGAGCCCGATGCGGGGCTCAATCCCAGGACCCTGGAATCCTGACCTGAGCTGAAGGTAGATGCCTAACTGACTGAGCCACCCAGGTGCCTCATCATTTCTAGGAATTTGTACAGAAGATATACTCACAAGTGTGCAAATATTCATTTATATGATGTTTTTGATAAGAAGCAAAACAATAACCTTAAGCGATAGATAGCTTTAAAAAAAAAAGATATATTCGTATAGTGGAATACTGTAGCCAAGAAAAAATAAGTTAGCTCCAAGTGTACTGATATTAAAGTGTGTGTGTGTACATTACCGAGAGACAAAGAGAGAGAGAGAAAGACAAAAATAGGAAAATGATGGGGAACATTTGGAAGAATACATTATGATTTAATATATAATTCTTAGTAGCTTCATATACTCCACGAAGTATGAATAAATATTGAAGTGGAGGTGAGGAGATCTTTTAGTTTTCACTTTATGCTATTCAGTATCAACTATTTACATTTTCATCCATGAGCTTTTATCATTTGTCTTACATTTTTTTTTAAAGTTCAATATTTATATATCATTAACATGAGAAATAAGTGTGTGTTTGCCTAAACTATTAAGGATGAATTAGGATAAATTTAATAAGACAGTAATAATTTGTTCAACTAAATTAAGAATGAATGGAATTACACTCTATAAATTTTGGATAAAATAGATTTGCACAATTATAGTTAATTTTTTCATAGTCTTATAGCATTCTTATGTTTTTGAGATTAGAAGAAAAAGCAAGATAGTAATAATTGAGTGTACATTCTTGAGCATTCTGAAATAAAATGTTAGAAATACCACAAAGATGATTCAGTCATTAAATCTATTAACTCATTCCATTTTTAACTCCATTTATTAATTTCTGTGGCATGTATTCAAGCTTGCATGTACTCATTTTCTTTAAATAATAGAAATTTTATTCACTTATTGTATGTTATTGTATTTAACTTTTTACTGAATTAAAGAAAAACATTTTATTTATACTAGGTAATCTCTGCTTGAGTTTCAAATTTCCAATTCACATATGAACACACAGAACTTCTCAGGAAGGACTGTTCATGACCATGTGCCATGCTCTGGTCTAAGAACTTCATTTCTGTATGATAATCATCATAACACAGTATGACTTCTACTCCAGGTTACTTTCTTTTTTTTTTTTTTTAAGATTTTTTATTTAATTGACAGAGACACACACAGCGAGAGAAGGAACACAAGCAGGGGGAGTGGGAGAGGGAGAAGCAGACTCCCCGCTGAGCTGGGAGCCTGATGCGGGGCTCGATCCCAGGACCCTGGGATCACGACCTGAGCCGAAGGCAGCCGCTTAACCGACTGAGCCACCCAGGCGCCCCTCCAGGTTACTTTCTAAGGCAATTAGTATTACCATTTACATCCATTCAAAAGAATTTAAAATTAATTAGACTGTAGAAATTTCAAGGTGTCTTTGATGACAGACTTTTGTGGCAAAGAAAAGAGATCTCAAATAAACAATAGTTTTTTATTAATAAAAATGTTTTAAAAGATCTGTTTAGTATCATAGAATTCTGGGGCAAGAAGGAGCCCCAAAGTTCATCTAGCTCCTCTCTCCTCCAGATAGTTAAATCTCTTATGCGAGCGGTCATCAGCCTATGGTTTACTATTCCAGTGACAGGGGATACACAATTTCCTAAACAGCTCAAACTGTCTTTGGACAGGCAGGTCTGAGTTGTAAAGTATTTTCTCATGTGGAGCCAACATGTATTTCAGTAGCTTTGATGCAAGTGTCTGTGTTCTATAGCTTGGGGTTGTATCCATTCTAAATATCTCCAATTAACTTAATATTTGGTACCCAAACTGCCCATGACAGAAGGATACACCCAAATGCAAAAGGCTCCATTTTCCCCTTTGCTCCATCAGATTTTATGACACTGCTTATAGCATTACATTTTAGACTACCCTAAGGCTTTATGTACACATATATATTTTTCTTCTTCTTCCTCTCATCTGTCAGTACAATATGACAACAATATTACTGGAGCTCATTATTTATAATATTTCACCCTAAGCCATTTTACAATGCTTCCCTTTTCAAACAGCTCTTTCCGATCAGTGAAAGGTTGTCAGTGTAGTTTTCTTTGAAAAACTGTTTTTCCATATCACTAAATAAAGGCAATGGTCCCATAAACAATGATTCCATATATTACCGAACCAAAACCCTAGAGTCATGGATAATAAAGCAAAGGAAACAGACTACCACATAGCAGAAAAATGCTCCTTACCATAAAAGTTATAGTTTAGCATAATTTCTGGCTGAGGAAACACTGAACTTTTTTTAAAGCCCCCTTTTAGCTCGTGAATCACACAAAGGTGCTGCTGTGTGAGAACCTGGCCTCTGGTTTTGCACACATCTTGTTTCTTTTACGAATGCTTCCTCATATCAGTACCCTGTCTTGAGTGCTCAAGCTCTTGTTCCAATCACCGTATCATAGAAGGGAACAGGCAGCAAGGATTTCTAATTAATTCATCATCTCTACAGACAAAGGATTTTAAAGAAAGTGGCACTTGTCATCCCAAAGACATAAAAGGATGTTCATATGCCTTTTCTTTCTCATTTGATCTGAACCTCACTGAGGGATGGTGATCGAATGTCTTTCCAAAGCCCTGATTGATTGCTGCTGGGGTGTGCTACTCACCTCTTTCCTCCTGTCTTTGTCTTTCTGTAACAGCCACTTGATAGATGCCTGTGGAGACTTCGGGGCACACTCAAGGAAAGTGGTGTTATTTTTTACTCCATACTGAACAATTTCAGCTGCATTTCTATATGCTGAAAAGCAAAAATAAGAGAGAGAAGAGAATTTAGAACATATTCTCCTATATGAATGTTTATTGCTCTATAAAACTGTCATCATCTATAGAAGCCCGAAAAGGCAATCTTTAATCATTTAACAAGCAGACTATTAGACATTGTTTACCTGTTGTGCTTAACCTAAAGGGAAGGAGAGAAAGGCATAAGGGAATCAATGTTTATTCAAGAAGTACTCTATACCAAGGAATGTCCTTAATATCACTTTGAACATTTATTTAATTATTACAATATCCTTACAAATTAGGTTTTCTCAGCTTTTCAGAGCTGAGCAAGCCAATGCTGTGAATTACTAGGAAACATATCCTACTTGAAGAGTTAGTAAGTGCCAGGCATTATTAAAGCCAGGTTCATCCATACTCGGTGGAGTATAGATAGAATTCAGAAGCATCAGGAAAAGTCAGAAAGCCAAGTGTGGATGCAGCAGGAAGTAGTGGTTGAGAACACAAATCTTTGGAATCAGAGGTATTGGAGGTAAAATTCTGACTTCACCAATACTGACCATGCAACCTTCGACAACTTACTTGACCCTTCTGTGTCTCAGTTTTACTTGGCTCTAAAACATGGATTATATTTTCATACAGGTTCTGTACTGAGATTCTTAATTCAGGAAGACCATGTAGTATAATCATGTGGTAGCTTAGACAGGAACAGCCTCTTCATTCATAAAATGGCGATAATAATAGACCTTACTTTGGTACAGTGTCTTGAGCATTAAGTGTGATAATCCATTAAAAAAGCACTTAACTCAGGTTCTGACACAAAGCCAGCACGCATGTGAGTTCATCATTACCCCCGCTGGCAGTTCTATCACTGTAGCTACTACTATTAGTAGAAATGGCACACATATTTATAAAATACTCAGTAAATAGAGAAATGGTGACCTGGATTTATTCCCTCAATTAGATGTATGGAACCACTAAGCAAAATGTGTCACAATTTTCTCCTTATAGTTCATGGAGTTAGTAATATGAAGGTCAGTCTTTACCAAAGAAAGGCCCAGACTCAAAAATACTAGCAATAGGAGTCTTGGTGTTAATTGTTAGCAACCAGTGGGTCTCTAGCACCAAGAGATCTCCGCCTGAAGAGATGTCACTGGTGGGGTTCAGGTGGAGGGGACAAGGTTGGTGGGGAAAGTATAATAACATGTGATCTTTATGTCAGGATGGGAAGAAATGGGTTAGACTGATCCTAAGACAGAGGCACAATTCTCAGAAGTACTGGAATGGTTATGAATTATAAAGCCGAGGCAGTGGTACACCCATGTTCAGAGCAGGATTAATTATAATAGCCCAAAGCGGAAGCGATCCAAGTGTCCAGTGATAGATGAATAAACAAAATGTGATATAAACACACAATAAAATATTTTTTTCCATTTTCAACAGAGAAGAAATCCTGACACGTGTTACAACACGAACGAACCCCGAAGAAGTGCAATAAGCAGTTACAAAAGGATAAATATTATGTATTTCCACTTATAAGAGGTATTTAGAAGAATCAAATTCATAAAGACAGAAAGTAGAATGGTGGTTTCCAGAAGCTGGTGAAGAGGGAGTTTGTATTTAATGGGCATAGGGTTTCACTTGGGAAAAATAAAACGTTCTAGAGACGGACGTGGTGCTGGTTACACAACAGTGTGAATGTACCTAATGCCACAGAACTATACATTTGAAAATGGTTAAAATGGTAAACTTTAAAAAAAAAATTTAAATTTTCAAATTTTTAAAAAAAGCACCTTTCTTTCCTTAACAAAGAAGACAATAGCTTTGTTTCTTCAGAAAAAAATAATAGCTTGGAAAATCTATAACTGACATCTATGTGAAAGACCTAACCAACTAACACACCCAAGGTAACTGTGGTCACAGACATTTGTTTTTCCTACTATACATACAAATAACGTTCAATTTTTAATTTCCATATGAACACCAAGCATCTTCATAATCTCCCATTAAAACAGAAGATATGAGGGGTGCCTGGGTGGCTCAGTCGTTAAGCGTCTGCCTTTAGTCTAGGTCATGATCCCAGGATGGAGCCCAGCATTGGGCTCCCTGCTCAGCGGGAAGCCTGCTTCTCCCTTTCCCACTCCCCCTGCTCGTGTTCCCTCTCTGTGTCAAATAAATAAATAAAATCTTGAAAAAAACAAAACAAAACAAAAAACAGAAGATATGAATTATAACGAGGTTTCCCTCCCTGAAATGTGACATGGAGCAATGCAACTCTTTACCAAGTTTGACCCTTGCTCAGTTTTAATACCTTTTAGATTAAATCCTCTGCACTGAGTCAATGGATTTCCATGCCTCACATCTTGTCTTCGGCTCCTCCTATAAGTGCAGAGACATACATAAAACTAATTTAGAATTAACATTGCCAATTACACCGCATTTAAAAGATTGCATTTTTAATTTCACAGTCTTTTAATTGCCTAAGCTTTCATAAGGAAAAGAGGTCTGATTATCTGACACAGCTATCTGACATTTCTTATTCACCACTTCCATGATAGGATGGGTACTTAACCTTGTTTTCATTCTGAATTAATTCCGTCCCTCCCTATCTACTACTGGTGATAGAATGGCTATGAAATCCTTATTACGTGCATTTCCTGGGTAAATGCTAGATTCCAAATGAATAGTGTAAATTTTAGTTTAGAGACATTTATCAAAAATTTTCCAAGATGAAAACCTCTAGAATATAAAATCACCAGCATCTTCTTTCTTATAATTTTGTTCTTAAATAAACATAGCTTTCTTACGAAAGTCAACATTTTCTAACACTTTCTTGATATATAAAAGCTTTTCTGAAACAGTTGATACATAGAAAATGGACATTTAATATAAAGTTAAGCAAAATTGTTCATTTACTAGAATAAGAATTTTCCTTCAACTTTTTACTTTGAAAAATGTCAAGCCTGGGGCGCCTGGGTGGCTCAGTCATTACGCGTCTGCCTTCGGCTCAGGTCATGATCCCAGGGTCCTGGGATCGAGCCCTGCACTGGGCTCCCTGCTCAGCAGGAAGCCTGCTTCTCGCTCTCCCACTCCCCCTGCTTGTGTTCCCTCTCTCGCTGTCTCTCTGTCAAATAAATAAATAAAATCTTTAAAAAAAAAAAAGAAAAAGAAAAATGTCAAGCCTACAGAAGAGTGGATATATGAGTACAATAAACACTGGTATACTTAGATTCATGAATTGTTGTATTTTGCCACATTTATTTTTTCTCTCACATGCAAGTTTTATGTTGTATATATACTTTATGCACATATATGAAAATCTTTAGAAAACAAGTTGCAGGCATGATAATGCTTCATTCTTCAATTTCCCTACATAACAACAGTATCATTATCATACTAAATATATGAATATTTATTCCATAATATCATACAATACACATTTTGTGTTAAAATTTCCTTAACTGTCTCCAAAATATCCCTTATGGATTTTTTAAAGTTTGTTCAGGATCCAAAGTTCACTCAATGCATTTTAGTTATTATGTGTCATCAACTTAAGCACTTCAAAATTTAGTTACATTCTTTATAAGTTGGCCATTATTTAAATCAATGTTTTAAATTATTTCAATACTAATTAATTTCCAGAGTCTTGATCCTATGTATATATATATTAGTTTCAATTGTATCACATAGTGAAACAAATCAAAATAGAGCAACCGAAATTCTCTTAGCAATAAATCATGGATATGAAGATTGCTGTTAAGAGAGAAGAAAAAAAAGTGGGGCGCCTGGATGGCTCAGCTGGTTGAGGGTCTGACTCTTGGTTTCGGCTCAGGTCACGGTCTCCCAGTGGTGAGATCAATCCCTGTGGTGGGCTCCACGTACAGCGCAGAGTCTGCCTCAGAATCTCTCTCCCTTTGCCCCTCCCCCGACTCATGCATGCTCTCCTTCTCTCTAAATAAATAAATAAATAAAGTCTTTAAAAAAAGAGAGAGAGAAGGAAATGATCCTCTCTTTAAATATTGGGAATGTAGGGATACATTGATTGTTTACTATCAAGGCTAGGAAGTACATATAAATGAGCATATTACTTAACTGGGTCAGCTGTTAAGTCTCAACATTTTTACCCTTAAAGATAAATTAAAACATTCAGTAAGAAGAGCAGAAATATTAAAATCTCACAGGGATTATCAAATTTACAAAGTGAAACTAATCTCAAAGTTATCAATAGTGAAAAAAATCATTTTAAGGTTACAGCAAATAGTAGTTTGTGTATTCAATGGATTATATAAATCTATGGGAATACAGGTATAAAATTTTGTGTCATTTTTGTATTCTTTTCCCAAAAAATGTCCCATTATCCTCATTCAATTTTACATTTCTTCTTTTTTTAAGATTTTATTTATTTATTTGAAGGAGAGAGAGAGAAAGAAAGCATGCGCAAACAGTGGGGGGAGGGGCAGAGGGAGAGGGAGAAACAGACTTCCCGCTGAGCAGAGCCTGACTGTGGGGCTCAGTCCCAGGACCCCAGGATCATGACCTGAGCTGAAAGCAGACGCTTAACTGACTGAGACACCCAGGCGCCCCTCAATTTTATATTTCTAATACAACAACACACACACAAACTAGTGGAAGTCACTCTTGGCTCAGAAAATACAATTAATGCTGTACTCTAGAATAGCTCCTATATCAGGTTTTTACTGCATTGCATTTGCTATATTTCCAAGCCAGTGTTATTTACTACCAATCAACTTGTGAGTGCACTATATTAAATGACCACCATGTGAGAGTTCTTATGGGTGAACTAGTCATTTTCAGTCATCTAGAGAAGCACTATCATTCACAATGGCTAAATTGATTGTCCTGTGACCAGCACTGTGTTATGGTTTGCATCGCTGGGCAACCTGAATTTACGGGATCACATAGCTTCCAGACATTCTGTACAGAAAAACATTATTATGGGTTGGCCTAAATGATGAGATCAGCAAGAGAGCTATCTGAGATTTTTTGTATTTGTAGATTCCCTTTAGGATATCCGTATAGCATTGCGAAAGCTGGTAGGCAGAGTAATATTATATTTGCATGTAGGTTTGGGATTTGAGCTCAAGTTACCAATGTTTTCTTCCTTAAGTATAATCCTTCAGATACACAATGAAATCATTTTTGTTCTTGTACATAAAACACATATTTACCTGAAGATTGAACTGATTATCTTGTCTTAGAATAAAATTTCTAAGCGCATGTCTGAATCCAGAATAAATAACATTTGAGACTAAATTGCAATATTTAGTACAAATATTTAAGATACTTGAGGATGAAAGGAAAATTGTGTTATTTGCCATAAGCAAACTTTTAAAAAAGAGAAACTACTGAGCCAATGATATTTAACAACTTCATTATATCAAAGTATAAACTCCACTGATTTCCAAGTATCGCTGTAATTCTTATTCCATACAAAGGACACGTTTTTGGTTTTCATTCCTATGAATTCCTCCACGTAATCTTTGTGTTCCAGATAGGTAGACAGTACAACTGAAATAAAATAGGTAAGTTAACACTATTAAAGAAAGTTAGTATGGAAAATACAAGTGATCATTTTTATTATTATTGTTTAATCACTTAAAAATATTATATATGAGAATTTAGGAAATAGTTAATTCAGCAAACATGCTTAGCATCCACTATATGTTTAAGTTTTAAAATAATTTGGAGAACTTACATGGTATAGATATTTGTAGTGAAACTTTCAATGTGCTAGCCAAAGATGGGTGTGAGTAGGCCAAGGAATAAGATAGATGATAGAAAGATAGATAGATGATAGATGACAGATGATAGATAAAGATAGAGATTTCTCAGCCTTTTATGATAGAATTAAGACACTGCTAGAGATTCAGATAGCTCTTTAAATGATTACTATCTCCTCTTTCAACCCATAATACTTTTTTTCCCCTGTTTATACTTTTTTTTTAACTTGAGAAAATATTGACATATAACATTATATTAGTTTCAGGTGTACATTCAATCATTATGTTGTATGCCTGAAACTAAT